ATTATGTAATACCACAATTTCGATGAAGAACATACAAAATAAATAAGAAGGACAGAAAAATATTAATGAAACAATAGATTACACTCCCTTAAATATCTATGATCAAAAGTCATACTATCAATTGAAAAAATATTTTACCAAAAATTTGGATAAAAAAATTTAATTAGTAATTTTCAATCTCAAACTGTAAAAATAATAAATTTTAAATCAAAAAATAAATTATTATTAAGAAAATAAAAAGTCTCACTGACACTTATCGCTTTAGGCCTCTCATGCTATTGAGTCATCGCTATGAGCACTGCATTAACATAGGAAACAAATCATCATATAAATAATTATGCCACAATTTCGATGATGGACAAACAAAACAAATAAAAAGAACAGAAAATATTAATGAAATAATAGATTACATTCCCTTAAATATCTATGATCAAAGTCATACAATCAATCAAAAAAATATTTTAGCAAAATTTGAATAAAAAAATTTAATTAGTAAATTTGAAACTCAATCAGTAAAAATAATAAATTTTAAATTAAAAAATAAATTATTATTTAGAAAATAAAACGTCTCAATGACACTTATCACCTTAGGTCTCACATGTTATTGAGTCGCCTCTGTGAGCGCTTCATTACCAACAAACCAAATCATCATATAAAATAGTTGTATCCGAGGCTTTAATAGCTTGGGAAACAATTATACTAGTAGAAGTTCAGAATATTCTTAGCCACCTACGATTAAAGAGATAGACACCAGTTTCAATCCATTGGAAGACCATGAACATAACACATCATAAGGTTATACAAAACTCGAATTAAAAGATATTGTCCAAATTTGAAACAAGGGCCAACATCATAAGCTTCTTTCACAAAAAGGTAAAGAACATAACACAAAGGTAAGAATTGGTAACTAGTACAAGGATGCAATCAAGAGAAAATTTCAGCATGATTTTAGTTAAACGCATATCAGCACCATTGACAACATACGAGATGGTATTCATGCTAGGTCCAAGTTGAACCACATCACTGAAAGGTCTACATCTAAACACTCCTCTAAACTGAAATTGACTGGCCAAAATTTTACAAAACAACAATAATACCTACAATGGACAGTCAAGAAACCTAATGTATGAGTGATCTTGAGTAAAGCAGATTAACTTAGTATTCAAAATCATCCATTGCAGTAACACATCACTTCATTGACATCTTGTGACTGACCGCATAATACAAGGTCTCAAGAACCACCACCATGATGCTAATATCATACATCATGGCAGAATGTTCAATTTCCTTACAAATCATGTCACATGTGTCTCAACTGTCAATAGGGAAGATAACGAGAAAACTTAGTCCAAACCTTGAACAAAGGCTAGATATGAAAAGCCACAGAAGGGTTAGGGAGGAGGAAGGCAGAAAACCCAGATAAAAAGCTTTTGCCATACTTAAATACACCTACAGCGAATGGTGCATCATTAAGCAACCATTATAAGAACACTTACAAGAAATAGGTAGAATGATCATTCGTTCATGGAAACCTGAGAACATCTTTGCTTGTTAAAACTGGTATTAGATTAATGCAAAAATGATGATTTGTAAATTAAAACAATACAAGGGAATTTAAGTTACCTCATTATAAATAGTACCAGATGCAAAAATGTAGAGCTTTGACATCATCACCCCACATCCGCAGGACAATCACAACAGAAAGTTACTCCACTCATTAAATATTCACAATGACAAGAAATTAAAACTGCTTGAAGATAGATTATTAGTCAGTAGAGTAAACATAAAGAAAATATTGAAATTTTAAATTTATTCAAATGGGAATGGTTGAAAGTAAAAGCATAACCAAGATGAAAATTTAAAGATTTTTTCCTTAAGAGGCAAACATCCAAGGACTACAAAAGAATCAAATCCGCCGCGCATTCTTGTGGGTTACGGTTACTATGTGAATTAATCACCCTTTCAATGCATAAGCATAATAGGTTCACATTTTTATCCCAGTAACTCTATCCCAACAGCAACCTTCTTGAAACAAGTGAACATGTCGTTCTCAACGCTAAGTACATTGAAAATAACAAGACAAGGCCTTTTTCCCTGATACAACAGGACATGAAAACAATTCGCTTATGCTTTCTTAGCCACCACAGATGATAGGATGTGTTAAGAAAGCAAAATCATTAGGAAAAATTCCACACCCCCTTATAGATAGGCCTAACTTCAGTGACACTGATTCTGAAATTTCATTTCACTCCCTTATAGTTCATATATTTATTTCAACAACACCCCTTGCCCCGACAAACCATTGCGGACAACTAACATATATTTATTTCAACAACACCCCTCGCCCCGACAAACCATTGCGGACAACTAAAAAAGTGATGATGTCATCTTGTTTTTCTTCAAAAATACCAATTTTACCCCTTTCTTCTTCGCACCACTTCTAATACACCTTGGTCTCCACAACACCACTACTTTGGCACCACCACAGACCAGCTAAACCAAATACACAACATTCTTTTTTTTTTTCAATACAAAATAATTGGTGAGGAAATTATTATGTTTAACGAAAATCCAAATTAGAGTTGAAAGCCTGAAAGCCCATATGAATACTAAATTAAATTAGGGACTGATATAGCAGCAAACACCCAGTCCAACAAATTCTTTTTTTTTAAAAAAAAAATCAAAAAATTTTATTTGAAATAACCAAAGAATCACAAGAAGCAAAAGGGAAAAATCCCTATACACACCATCAATGTAATGACTTTAATCCTTCAAAACATATCAAAAAACAAAAACTTTACTTCCAAAGCAAGACCTTGCACTGCAACCCTGCACCATCTGCTTTCTATCATTTATCATAAAAAATGACCACATTTTTAACTCTTGCAACAGGCAGCCTCCTCCTTTGATCATGCATCAATAGCAATTTTACCATCTTCGGCAGCAAACTAGAGCAAGAAAAATCTGAAGAACAACGATCTCTCACAGCTCTGTTAGCCAAGCTATCAGCCACCCCATTCACTTCTCTATACACATGAAAAAGCTGCGAATCCATTCTCCCCAAAATCTCCTTCATCTTTACCAAAAAACCAAAACTGGGCCATGAACACTCCAGCCCATCTCTAACAATATTAACAAGTACCATCGAATCATAAATTTGTACCCAATTAAACAATACTGTTTAATTAGGCACAAACCATCCAACAAAGCTCTAAATTCGGCCACCCATGCCCAATCTGTCCCAAACCCACTTGACATCAACCACTCCCACAATGTGCATGCACACGCACCGTCGACTGCCAGTTTTCACATGCCCACCACCATAACCCTTGCATCAATGCCCATCACAAAACCCCTAAATTAATTTGAACTTTTTTTGCTCCTATCTCAATACAGCTGGAAAGGGTTTGCTGGAGAGAAAAAGAGAGAATTCAGTCTCCACTCAGCCCCACACCCATGCCTAATCTGTCCCAAACCCACTTGACATTAACCACTCCCACAACGTGCACACACACGTACTGTCAACAATAAGCTTTCACATACCCACCACCACCAATCCACTGCCACAACCCTTGCATCAACACCCATCACAAAACCCCGAAATCAATTTGATATTTTTTTGGCCCTATGTTGATACGGATGGAAGGGGTTTGTGGAGAGTAAGAGAGAAGGGGGGGGGGGGGAAGAGAGAGAAAGAGTAAGGGGTGATGTGAGGAGGGGTTCGAATGACGCTGTGGAGGGACAGACGATGGCAAAAGAGGTGAGAGTGGGCAAGGAAGAGTGGGTTAGGGGCATCGACACTGATAAAGGGGTGTCAGTGAAATTTCCGAAACGGTAAGAGGTCATTGAAGTTAGGTATATTTATAGAAGGCGTGAATGAAATTTTTTCAAACCATTAGANCCATTAGGAAAAATTTCATCCACACCCCTTATAGATAGGCCTAACTTCAGTGACACCCCTTCTCGATTCTGAAATTTCATTGCACTCCCTTATCTACACCCCTTGCCCCGACAAACCATTGCTGACAACTAAAAAAGTGATGATGTCATCTTGTTTTTCTTCAAAAATACCAATTTTACCCCTTTCTTCTTCGCACCACTTCTAATGCACCTTCGTCTCCACAACACCACTACTTTGGCACCACCACAGACCAGCTAAACCAAATACACAACATTCTTTTTTTTTTCAATACAAAATAATTGGTGAGGAAATTATTATATTTAACGAAAATCCAAATTAGAGTTGAAAGCCTGAAAGCCCATATGAATACTAAATTNGTCATTGAAGTTAGGTATATTTATAGAAGGCGTGAATGAAATTTTTTCAAACCATTAGAAGGAATATAGAATTACCAGGTGAATTTGTGGGTTTCAACTCAAGGTAACTCGAGCCATAATAAAAATGAATTATAAATTTAAATATTTTAAGTTCGAATATTGACAACCTCTTAAAAGATAAGTTATAAAAAATTTATCTTTTATAAATATTATAATCTGACGTAGATTACTTGCATTTAATCAGATCAAAAAAAAAACAAATCAAAATGCATACAAGCAAACATCCTATTAAACCTAAAAAAAAATTAAGAATTTGTAGGTTTCAAATGGAATGTCCCCAAAGAGAAGCGACCATTTTGTACCACTATATAATGTAATTGACAATGCATCAGCGTGCCATCTAAGAAAAGTGGGAGAGTAAGTTTGTGACAATAAATCAACGTTGTAATTGAAATGTCATGTCAGTCCAACAAAAATTACTTTTGTCACCACCCATCAAATGAATATTGATTAAATTTCTTACTTTGAGGTTAAAGATTTTAATTTTAGAGTTCACATTAGAACTCAGTAATTGATCACTATACTAACTTAACTAAGCTCATTCACGAGAGATATAATGACTGAACTTCATGATCCCACCGATGATAACATATTTGAATGGTTTCTAAATGCTCTCTATTACACCCACGCTCACCCCTTTTTTGACGAGAAAAAAAAAATTGTCATGCTGCATCATCGGCTTCTTTCTGAGGAGACAAGTCTTGTACCAACACTGGAAAACCCCGAGCCACTGTAGCAACATCTGGTGGTATCTGAAATGCTCAGAGTCATCCACTACAAAAGCTGATCTAGAATCATGAATTGGGCCCCCAATACAAGGACCAGCGGATAGTTTTAGTGACAAAATAAACTACCTCATCAACATACTAGGATCAAAACGAAAGAGGCGATATAGGCAAAAAAAAAAAAAAAAAAAGGATGAATTGAATCTCAGCCTGTATATTTTACCAAATTTTGTTGAATTTTCATAGCTAAACATATAATTCATAGGAACTTGTACAAAACTGTCAAAACAACTTAATAGTTTAACACATAAGATTATCGGTAGCAATTCACCTACAGTCCCAGGTGAATAATAGTCAGCATCTCGAAATGCCCAAGTAATTATTCTGCCTTGCTGTGCTTACTCTTGCTAGAAGATGGACCCTGTGGACATTTTTTCGAAGCATATGATTTAGTCAATGTGCTTCAAACAAATTAGCCACGATAACATCAAATACTGAAATGACTAAAGGTAGATTGCCAACTGGTACAACTGAACTAAGAATCTTAGCCTCTCCTTCCGGCAACCACTATGCAATTGAAGCAGACACTTCATACCCTTGCACAAAATTTCTTAATTTTTCTGTTTCGTTCACAACAGAAAGCCAATCCGTAAGAACTTCCATAGTAATATAATCGGGATTACAAGCCTGTTCAGTCATTTGATCCATAAGTTGGAGTGCTTTCTCCAACCAGTTTATCTCCTGAAGGCCTTTGAACATGGCATTGTATGTGTTGGTATTTGGCTTCACTCCCTTGGTTTTCATATCATCCATTAGGGAAAGAGCAANATCATTGAAGTGAGGTATATTTATAGAAGGCGTGGGTGAAATTTTTTCAAACCATTATTATAAGGAATATAGAATTACCAGTTGAATTTGTGGGTTCCAACTCAAGGTAACTCGAGCCATAATAAAAATAAATTATAAATTTAAATATCTTAAGTTTGAATATTGACAATCTTTTAAAAGATAAGTTATAAAAAATTTATCCCTTATAAATACTCTAATCTTACGTAGATTACTTGCATTTAATCAGATCAGAAAAAAAAAAAAATCAAAATGCGTGCAAGCAAACATCTTGTTAAACCATAACAAAAATTAAGAATTTGTAGGTTTCAAATGGAATGTCCCCAAAGAGAAGCGACCATTTTGTACCACTATATAATGTAATTGACAATGCATCAGCTTGCCATCTAGGAAAAGTGAGAGAGTAAGTTTGTGGCAATAAATCACCGTTGTAATTGAAATGTCATGTCAGACCAATAAGAATTACTTTTGTCACCACCCATTAAATTTCTTACTTTGAGGTTAAAGATTTTAATTTTATAGTTTACATTAGAACTCGGTGATTGATCACTATACTAACCTAAATAAGCTCATTCACGAGAGAAATAATGACTGTGATCAGGGACTTCATAATCCTACCGATGATAATATATCTGAATGGTTTCTAAATGCTCTCTATTACACCCACGCCCACCCCTTTTTTGACGAGAAAAAAAAAATTGTCATGCTGCATCATCGGCTTCTTTCTGAGGAGACAAGCCGTGTACCAACACTGGAAAACCCCGAGCCACTGTAGCAACATTTGGTGGTATCTGAAATGCTCAGAGTCATCAACTACAAAAGCTGATGTAGAATCATGAATTGGGCCCCCAATACAAGGACCAGCGGATAGTTTTAGTGACAAAATAAACTACCTCATCAACATACTAGGATCAAAACGAAAGAGGCGATATAGGCAAAAAAAAAAAACAAAGGATGAATTGAATCTCAGCCTGTATATTTTACCAAATTTTGTTGAATTTTCATAGCTAAACATATAATTCATAGGAACTTGTACAAAACTGTCAAAAACACAACTTAATAGTTTAACACATAAGATTATCGGTAGCAATTCACCTACAGTCCCGGGTGAATACTAGTCAGCATCTCGAGATGCCCAAGTAATTATTCTGCCTTGCTGTGCTTACTCTTGCTAGAAGATGGACCCTGTGGACATTTTTTCGAAGCATATGATTTAGTCAATGTGCTTCAAACAAATTAGCCACGATAACATCAAATACTGAAATGACTAAAGGTAGATTGCCAACTGGTACAACTGAACTAAGAATCTTAGCCTCTCCTTCCGGCAACCACTATGCAATTGAAGCAGACACTTCATACCCTTGCACAAAATTTCTTAATTTTTCTGTTTCGTTCACAACAGAAAGCCAATCCGTAAGAACTTCCATAGTAATATAATCGGGATTACAAGCCTGTTCAGTCATTTGATCCATAAGTTGGAGTGCTTTCTCCAACCAGTTTATCTCCTGAAGGCCTTTGAACATGGCATTGTATGTGTTGGTATTTGGCTTCACTCCCTTGGTTTTCATATCATCCATTAGGGAAAGAGCAATTTCTACTTTCTTATTCTTGCAGAGAGAGTCTATCAGATTATTATATATAACGGTATTGGGTGATACCCTTGATGCAGAACTCATGTTTGTAAAAATTTTCATTGCTTCGTCAAGATTGCCCACCAAGCAATATGCATGAATCAGTGTTCCATAAGTAACAACAGTGGGCACGAGACCATCTTTAACCATCCGCCTCATCAACGTATGGGCTGTCCTAAAATCTCCAGTTTCACTGAAATATGAAATCAAAGTGTTGTATNACACAACTTAATAGTTTAACACATAAGATTATCGGTAGCAATTCACCTACAGTCCCGGGTGAATACTAGTCAGCATCTCGAGATGCCCAAGTAATTATTCTGCCTTGCTGTGCTTACTCTTGCTAGAAGATGGACCCTGTGGACATTTTTTCGAAGCATATGATTTAGTCAATGTGCTTCAAACAAATTAGCCACGATAACATCAAATACTGAAATGACTAAAGGTAGATTGCCAACTGGTACAACTGAACTAAGAATCTTAGCCTCTCCTTCCGGCAACCACTATGCAATTGAAGCAGACACTTCATACCCTTGCACAAAATTTCTTAATTTTTCTGTTTCGTTCACAACAGAAAGCCAATCCGTAAGAACTTCCATAGTAATATAATCGGGATTACAAGCCTGTTCAGTCATTTGATCCATAAGTTGGAGTGCTTTCTCCAACCAGTTTATCTCCTGAAGGCCTTTGAACATGGCATTGTATGTGTTGGTATTTGGCTTCACTCCCTTGGTTTTCATATCATCCATTAGGGAAAGAGCAATTTCTACTTTCTTATTCTTGCAGAGAGAGTCTATCAGATTATTATATATAACGGTATTGGGTGATACCCTTGATGCAGAACTCATGTTTGTAAAAATTTTCATTGCTTCGTCAAGATTGCCCACCAAGCAATATGCATGAATCAGTGTTCCATAAGTAACAACAGTGGGCACGAGACCATCTTTAACCATCCGCCTCATCAACGTATGGGCTGTCCTAAAATCTCCAGTTTCACTGAAATATGAAATCAAAGTGTTGTATGTAACACTATCAGGCTTCACTCCAGCTTCCTCCAAATCCTTAAGCATCTCATAAGCTTTCTCCAATTTATTCTTCTTGCAGAACCCACTAATCAGAACATTGTAGCTTACAATATCTAAGCCGAACCCAGCTTTCTTCATCATTGATGCCACAAAGCTAGCATCATCGACCCTTCCCGCCTGGCTTAGACCAGAGATCAAGCAGTAGTACACAATTGCATCTGGAGAACACCCGGTTTTTAACATTTCATCAAATAATGCCATAGCCTTATCAATATTGTTGGCATTGCAGAAAGCACTAATCAAGACAGTGTAAGTAATTGCATTAGTTTTCAAACCCTTTTGCTGCATTTCATTNTAGAACATCCGGTTTTTAACATTTCATCAAATAATGCCATAGCCTTATCAATATTGTTGGCATTGCAGAAAGCACTAATCAAGACAGTGTAAGTAATTGCATTAGTTTTCAGACCCCTTTGCTGCATTTCATTAAGGAAATCCATTGCACTATTGATTCTCCCATGCTTACACATGCCATCAACCAAAGTATTAAGTGTAATCACATTTGGCATCACCCCCTCCTTGTACATCTGATCCAAAAGCTCATGGGCCCTCTCAATTTCACCAGCCTTGCAAAAACCATCAATCAAGCAATTGTAGGTAACAGTATTAGGTGCACTTTCATGTCGTGATTTCATCTGTTCCAGTAAACCCAAGCCTTCTTCTTGCCTCCCAACTTTGCATAATCCATCAATCAAAGTATTATAAAGCACAACATCCGGTTCAACGGAAATTTCATCATTTTCATTGCCTCTCATCTTCTTGAATACCTCCAATGCCTCATCAACCCTACGGAGCTTACACAGATAATTAATTAGAATTCCAAACGTTACAACATTCGGCTGAATTTTCTCTTCCTTCATCTCCCTTAAAAGCATATTCATCCTCACAAAATCATGCTCTCTGCCCAAACCTGTCAAAAGGGCATTGCAAGAAGCAGCTTCCACAGCACCACCCAACCTCCTCACATCATACAAAAACTCCCAAGCCTTATTACTCTTACCACTCCTACACAACCTAGTAGTTAATTGACTTAACCACACATTATTAGGAAACACACCATGTTCCCCCAATTTCAAAACCAAACCAACAATCTCCTCCTCACTCACACTCCTCCCACTCCAATTCCACTTCAACATCCCGGCCAAAACAATATCCAGTGTTCTCTCATTCGGCGGATACTTCGACTCTCTATCAAGCATTTCATCGAGCACTTTAACGGCCTCGTCAACTCCACCTGATCGCAGCAGAACATCGATTACTGTATTACGCACATGGATATTTCTTCTATCTGGGTCGAGTTCTTTGTATACAATAAGCGATTTTTCAACCATTCTGGCCCGGCCAAAGAATCGGATAAGAAGGGTTGCGGAATTCTTTGAAAGAGGAATGCTTTGATCTCTTGAGCTGGTGAAAAGTTCATAGAGCTTGGTGGCTGAGTCGGGTTGTTCTCGACTTGCGAACTCGAAAATGGCCTGGAAAGTGGAGGAAAGAGAAAGAGGGTCCGGTGGGGACGGTGAGGTTGTGCGAATATAGTCGAAAAATTGGAGGGCTTTGGCGGTTGAGCCCAAGCCACGGGTGATGCGGAGGAGGGAGAGAGGAGACAGTGAATGAGGAGAGAGAAAGAGGAGATGGTGAAGAGTGGTGTTGGTGGTCCAGTCATTGGTGTCGGTGGTTTGGAGGAGAGTGACTACTTGGGTAACGAATGATGGGTCGAAAGAAAGTGGTGGTGGTGATGTTGGTGCTTGAGGTGGTGGTGGTGGGTGAGTGGGTTCGGCGGTGGAGAGGTGGCGGATGTGATAAGGGTGGTCTTTGGTGGTTTGCTGTTTTAGGAGGCGGAAGAGGTCTTGCTGTTTGGATGCTGCGAGTCTCATGTTCGTTTTACTCTGGAAATAGGAGATCGAATTTGAAAACAGAGTCCCTCATACTAGACGCTACTTCAAAAGAAAAGTGGCCGCGTGGGAGTGAGTGTATATTTTTACGGGCAAAGGGCGTTATTGGCTTAATTGAAGTACAGCGCGGAAGGGCTTGTACGTGTTAAGCCCAATAAAATCAGCTAACACATACAATCCCCTCACAGGTCTTATCATATACTATACAGCATAAACATAATATCTCTCTGCTTATAAATCGTAATAGCAGTCTCCAACATTTATTTTGCTTTATTTTAGATTGTGAAAATGGAAAGATCGTGTACAACGTTTGAGAGACTACCTATCGTTATTCTTAAAATTGATTCTGTTGTTTACGCATTTTAAGAGTTATCGTCAGTCTTGCTTAGTATTTCTCTGTTTAGCTCCTTAGAATATGTGGGAATTCGAATAGAAATTTTGAAAGTTTAATGCTCGATTTTTTAAATTCGTTAGCTAATTAGAATTTTGAACTTTCACAAATTTGGAAATTGAAACAGGAGGAATCTACGATTTCGAATCTAATTTCATTTTNATGAGGAGAGAGAAAGAGGAGATGGTGAAGAGTGGTGTTGGTGGTCCAGTCATTGGTGTCGGTGGTTTGGAGGAGAGTGACTACTTGTGTAACGAATGATGGGTCGAAAGAAAGTGGTGGTGGTGGTGGTGGTGGGTGAGTGGGTTCGGCGGTGGAGAGGTGGCGGATGTGATAAGGGTGGTCTTTGGTGGTTTGCTGTTTTAGGAGGCGGAAGAGGTCTTGCTGTTTGGATGCTGCGAGTCTCATGTTCGTTTTACTCTGGAAATAGGAGATCGAATTTGAAAACAGAGTCCCTCATACTAGACGCTACTTCAAAAGAAAAGTGGCCGCGTGGGAGTGAGTGTATATTTTTACGGGCAAAGGGCGTTATTGGCTTAATTGAAGTACAGCGCGGAAGGGCTTGTACGTGTTAAGCCCAATAAAATCAGCTAACACATACAATCCCCTCACAGGTCTTATCATATACTATACAGCATAAACATAATATCTCTCTGCTTATAAATCGTAATAGCAGTCTCCAACATTTATTTTGCTTTATTTTAGATTGTGAAAATGGAAAGATCGTGTACAACGTTTGAGAGACTACCTATCGTTATTCTTAAAATTGATTCTGTTGTTTACGCATTTTAAGAGTTATCGTCAGTCTTGCTTAGTATTTCTCTGTTTAGCTCCTTAGAATATGTGGGAATTCGAATAGAAATTTTGAAAGTTTAATGCTCGATTTTTTAAATTCGTTAGCTAATTAGAATTTTGAACTTTCACAAATTTGGAAATTGAAACAGGAGGAATCTACGATTTCGAATCTAATTTCATTTTCTGCTGTCACATTGATTGCTAGTTATTCATTAGTTCTTGTGTTTGCTAATTCTAGGTTTGCTATGTATTCATTGTTTTATTCCTATTTAGGTTTCGGTGGAGACAGTAATATCAACGTGCATATCCTGAGGAATTCTTGAAAGAATCGGATGCTAGGTAAAATTTTTTATATTGCTTGATTTCCCATTTTGTAGGTACTGAGTTTTTGATGAGTTCTGAGATTCTGCCAATTTTGAGTTTATATTTTTATGTTGTATCAAAGAATATGATAGTAAATGATAGGGTGAAATCCCTGTACGCATTCTGATGCTTGTGAATACACATGGAAGCTTTGAATTGATTAATCTATGAAACCCTGCATATTTGCTATCTTTTATATTGCTTGATTTCACCATTTGAAGGAAATTTATCCCTTTTTTTTGTCATCAAGTATTAGCAATGAAATGGGAACCTTGGTATCTATCTTTAGTTCAAATTTAATGTCCATGCTGTTATTTCCCCCCTTTTTTTATGCCAAGAAGGTGGTTATTTTGTTATACATGTATAAATGTCGTGCGTGTATACACCCTATATACAACTATATAGTTTTGAATTAGCTGTAATTTAATGAATTTCATCTATTCGTTTATAGAGAAACTTGAGAAACAAATCCATTCATTTTTTGATTAAATGCCCAATACGTTGTATAAGTCAAGCTCAAAATCCAAGTATGATGGAATGGTGTGATGAACCCTTGTGAAATTGTGTGTACGAAATTTTGGTACGAGTATATTCTTAAATAACCATGNGTTTTTAAGCATATCTCTGTTGATCTATTGCCATCAACTGGTGTGAGAAAGTATTATGGGAATAGTTTATGACTCTCAAAATCCAAGTATGATGGAATGGTGTGATGAACCCTTGTGAAATTGTGTGTACGAAATTTTGGTACGAGTATATTCTTAAATAACCATGGGAGGTTTTTCATTTGATTATTCCATCAAACCTTCCCTATCCTTTAGAAATATTCATGGGATTCATAATCCATTTTTTTAATATTTACTTTGTCATGATCGATACCGACTTTGAATTTTGGATATCATTATTGTCATGTTGATTCCTAGAAGCAAGAAGCCCATCAGTCAATGAATATACTGAACATTTAATAGCATCATTGAAAAACATTGCTGAATTACCTTTTATATCTCAACTTGGTTGATGTCTTTCAACAACAAAATAAATATTTGATAAGTAACTCTCTACTTTAACCACCTTTGCTTTAACAACAAAATAAATATTTGAGAAGTATCTCTCCACTTTAACTACCTTTGCTTCACCTCATGGGCAACCTATATTTCTGTCCTTCATTGTATAAGCAGACAAAACTAAGACTTGATTGCTAAATAGTATTTCTTCTTCATCTTTTGAGAAATTGCTTAGTGGTAATTCTTTTTGTTGTTCTTCTTCTTCTTTGTCTTATTTTTTTTTCTCTAATAGGTTGGTTATTGTTTCCAAGGCTTGTTCGAAGAATGGTACCTCTTTCTCCCTGTTTAAAGTTTGCATACGTCACTCAAGAGGGATGGTATCCCTGCCCTTGCTCCAAGCTGATATGATACACAACTTATTCCTTCTCATGTTTTTTGAGTATATTTCTCCTTGAATTTTTCCAATAGATATGACTTGGGAGAATTGAAGTTGTCCTATGCACACCGTTTTTGTGATCCTTCTGCTGCCATCAATATGTAAAAATGTAGTCATCGGTCAAATACAGTACGAGCGATCTACATCAAATATTATTTTTTGGTCAACGACCTGTATCAATTTAGTTCTCCAGGTTTCTGCTGCTTTAGAAGCTGAGGGCTCTCTTGTACCATGTAGTCCATGTTTTTAGTTGCTGAATATACTTTAAGCTAGTTGAATTTTGTTGGGAGTGTAGCACAATTGTAGTTGTTTATCTGTGTTGCTCATCAAGAAATAAATCTGACGTTGCATTTTTTTCCATATTTGTGCGAAGTGATGTTCGCCTTGTGGCACCAAGGATGGACTCATGTTTTGCGTCTTGTGGCTGCTATGAAGTATGAATATGTTTACTTGCAACTTGTAACTTCTAATTTCATGTCGTTGTGGCTTTTACACAAATCTCTCTCTCTCAAACGATGCATACGTGGACTTCCGCTTTCCTCAACTATAATGCATGTTTTTTGTAACCAGAGGCAAAGGTGATCATAAACCAGCTCCTCGGATCACTGAAGCTGACAAAACTAATGATAGAAGGTACAAAGNAATGCATACGTGGACTTCCGCTTTCCTCAACTATAATGCATGTTATTTGTAACCAGAGGCAAAGGTGATTATAAACCAGCTCCTCGGATCACTGAAGCTGACAAAACTAATGATAGAAGGTACAAAGTTGGTTTATTATCATTAACTTTTTTCCTTGGCATGAATTAGAAGGAAACATGGCTCTGAATTTGAGAAAATCTTGTTGCTTTAAGCACANAGTTGGTTTATTATCATTAACTTTTTTCCTTGGCATGAATTAGAAGGAAACATGGCTCTGAATTTGAGAAAATCTTGTTGCTTTAAGCACATTCACTATTCGCCATCTTAAATTGCTGCTGTAGTTGTTAGATTTGTAAACTACCTTGAAGTTGATAAAGATTTAATTGATTATTGGCCACTAAGTTTTCTCATTTGAATCATCGGCACCTCGAACTATCTTGTTTTCAATCTTACATGTCATCTCTTTTTTTTCTTGAATATGCATGGTTTTTGTCCATGATTTACAAAAATCTTGCTCTTATTTTGTTGAAGGTCATTACAAAGAGCTCTTGACAGAAGGCTTTATCTCCTCCTTTATGGAACCACATATGAGGCTCCCAGTGAGAAGCCTGTCTGGCATTTTCCTGAAAAAGTTTACAATTCTGAGGAGGCATTGTGCAAGGTAATAGTTGCTGTGTACTCTTAACTACTCTTTTTCTCATCTTCTTTTAGTAATATGTGAACTTCAAATTCTGCAATGTGCAGAGTCTGCGTTAAAATTCTTTATTGGAGATCTCTCCCACACCTACTTCGTTGGAAATGCTTCAATGGGCCATATGGTTATACAGAAGAGTGAGCAGCATATTTCATCGTTCAAGGTATGGAAATTACCAGAATTTACATGGTAGATGGGCTCTAACTAATGGGTATGATGATAACATAATTTTGACAGCTTCCTCCATAAATTTCCTCTTTCATAAGAAACTATATCATGTGCTTTTTATGGCTTTGGCTTTTTTGCTGAATATCAATTAAGTTGCATAGTCGTTTCCTCTCATTTCCCTTCTTTATTCCCATCATTTTGTTAGCGCAGCTTCTTCAAATCTCAAGCGATTGTGACCAACAAGTTTAATGTCGAGATGTGTGAGGATTTTGTTTGGGTGACCAAGGATGAACTGTTGGAGTATTTTCCTGAGCAAGCTGAATTCCTTAACAAGATGATCATTAGCTGACGGTGTTTTCTTCTCAATTCCAAGCTTACAATAAAAAATTTTAAGTACCAGAACCAGGGATTATGTGTATTAGCTTTTGTATTGGAATGTATATTCTTTCATTCCAGACAATGAAATGTTTTTGACCCTCTTATATAGAGTTCAAGCGGCCATAGGAAGTCTAAGCTGCAGTTTGCCGACAGAATTTTGTTGATTGAGTCGTACAAAGTTTGAGTTTTGGATCTTTTTTTAATGAGGTCACTGAATTTAGTGAAGCCTTTATTATGACCTTCATCACCTTTTTTTTTTCCTTCATTTGCTGATAATCGTTCAAGCACGTTGTAGATAAATCTTTGCATGATGGTCAAAGTTGTTCTAGCACCTCCCCTCTCCCCCCAACCCAACACACACACACACAAAAACTATGGTGATGGGTCTCATGTCTGCTTGCTGTAGAAATTGTAAGCTGTTGATGTTAGTTTGGGAAGAATTTTTTAATGGCAGCCAATCGACATCTATTTGTTTTGTTACTATAAATAGGCTCTTATTGCGATAACTAGGAGTTGCAACTGACGAGCCTCAAAGTTACAGGAGTGCTATCACAGAGCATGACAAGAATGATTAATGTACTAACTGTTGTTTTCTCACAACTTACATATTAGTACTTCGCATTTAAGATTGCTGGATTTGCATGAATACAGTGACTGTGGTAGCAATTTACAGCCAAATGTTATGAAAAGGTTATTGCTGACTGTAATCCTCTGCTACGAGCCTTCCGATGCACCCTCTTTTTTTTGTTTGTTTGTTTTTAACCACCACCCACGCAATGCTCTATAGTTAATTCATTATTATCTAAATTATTATACTTTAATTTCAAATTGCCTATTATGTATTGGTTAAGGATCTACGTGAATATAATGCAGNTGTTTGTTTGTTTTTTTGGTGGTGGGTGCGTTACGAGATATCAATTAAGTAATAATAGATTTAATAATATATTTAATTTCAAATTGCCTATTATGTATTGGTTAAGGATCTACGTGAATATAATGCGGCTGACTTGGATCATTGTCGATGACTGTTCCGGTACTAATCATCACCAGTATTCCAATGACAATCCCAATAAAATGAAATAAAAATAAATGTAAAAAAATAAACTCAAGAACTTAGACCAGCAAAAACTACTTTATAATGTACCTGCCATAACTTTAGATGAATCTTCTAGGAAACTTGGATAATTCTAAATAGTCAATAAAACGTGGTCAAGGATGGAAACCTCGGGCGTAAATGCGGTAAATGGGTGGGTTACGTTGATTATGGGTTGAGTTAAATTGGATTGGATTAAAATAAATTCAATTTATTTTTCACTCATATAGTATATGGGTTATAACAGATTTGGTTAAACCGATTAACCCATAAAATAATTAAAATTCTTAATGAACATATTAATACATCAAAATACACACACGCATTAATAGTACGCCAAAATACAAACACACACACACATTAATACAACAAAACGCATACAAACTAATGCACTAAAAATAAACACACTAAAATATATACTAATACACCAAAAATATACACACATATGCTAACACAAAAACTAAAATATATTTAATAAAAAAATACACAGATAATGGGTCGGGGTGATTGTGGGCTATGGGTTATGGGTCAACTCATAGAGGGTCGTGGGTCGATCCATGGGACATGGGTCAACCCAAGTTGGGAGCAATGCTATTGAGACATAATTTATTAACATAATTTACTGTGACATTTAGATTCANTAATTCTAAATAGTCAATAAAACGTGGTCAAGGATGGAAACCTCGGGCGTAAATGTGATAAATGGGTGGGTTACGTTGATTATGGGTTGAGTTAAATTGGATTGGATTAAAATAAATTCAATTTATTTTTCACTCATATAGTATATGGGTTATAACAGATTTGGTTAAACCGATTAACCCATAAAATAATTAAAATTCTTAATGAACATATTAATACATCAAAATACACACACGCATTAATAGTACGCCAAAATACAAACACACACACACATTAATACAACAAAACGCATACAAACTAATGCACTAAAAATAAACACACTAAAATATATACTAATACACCAAAAATATACACACATATGCTAACACAAAAACTAAAATATATTTAATAAAAAAATACACAGAAAATGGGTCGGGGTGATTGTGGGCTATGGGTTATGGGTCAACTCATAGAGGGTCGTGGGTCGATCTATGGGGTATGGGTCGATCCAAGTTGGTAGCAATGCTATTGAGACATAATTTATTAACATAATTTACTGTGACATTTAGATTCATTATAGATTTTATCAAACATTAGAATTTTGTGATAATCTAATAACTCATATGAAATCACATTATTATATCAACAAATTAAGACAAACTTTAAGATTCAAATAACATTATTCAAACCTTGGAAACCAAGTTTCAATATGGCGAGAAAATATTCAATGTTTATGGGACATCACCTAACAGTGTTATGTGGCGCTCACATCGTAAGATCGATTATTTTCTCCTAATTGGTTGTTCTTTTATTTTTTTATTTAACGGTTAGGGATATTCAGGGTTAAGTTATGTATAGTTCAATTAATTTTTTTTTTAATTTGATCAAAGAATGTTCAATTACTTTAAAATTAAAATATTTATAAATAATAAATTTCTCATAATTTAATGGCAAAATNTTTTTTTTTTAATTTGATCAAAGATTGTTCAATTACTTTAAAATTAAAGTATTTATAAACGATAAATTTTTCATAATTTAATGATAAAATTCGAACTCAAAATATCTGAACGAAGACTTCGTTCTTGTTGCGACAATTTATTTGATTGTTCCTCGGTTGGTAAACAGTATCCGATCAATTAAGAAATTTTCGCTGCACTTAGACTTTTGTCCTACTTAATGATGTCACCATTGTCTCCACACACACGCGGAGAGAGAGAGAGAGAGAGAGAGAGAGAGAGAGAGAGAGAGAGAGAGCGGTGCAATAATCCTGCGTGCTTTGATAATAACGACTAATACATATGCTGGGCACGTTTGCTTTTTAACTTGGGGCAGTTGAACAGAAGTAGTTGAAATGTAGTTGCCAAGTTGGGCTTAGCTTGGGTGCAATACACCAGATATCCAAGACTCTCCTCATCTTCCCACCTTCCACAACNCATATGCTGGGCACGTTTGCTTTTTAACTTGGGGCAGTTGAACAGAAGTAGTTGAAATGTAGTTGCCAAGTTGGGCTTAGCTTGGGTGCAATACACCAGATATCCAAGACTCTCCTCATCTTCCCACCTTCCACAACTATCCTTAAGCTACATAGTTACAATCCAAAACATTCCCATTTCCTCTCTCTTCACATTCCCAGTGGAGCCCCCCCCTCCTCATGGAACAACAAGAAGAAGCCCCTCCACCGCCACTTCCGCCACCACCCACCACCACATCCTACCTCCTCGCACCCTCATTGGACCCTCCTCGACAGCCTGATCAAGTCCTTTCATATATAGATTGGGTCAACCTCCTTTCCTCTCCCAGTGGGCTCCATAATCCATTATTATCAGAAGGTATTTCTATGGCAACAGAAAATCTTATGGCTGAAGACGACATGAACAACAACAAGGTTAAAAGAAGAGCTGGTGGTCGGAATGGAAAATCGACCCGGCCTCGGTTCGCCTTTCAGACTAGGAGCGCCGATGATATACTTGACGACGGGTTTCGTTGGAGAAAATATGGACAGAAAGCTGTAAAGAATAGCATATATCCCAGGTGAGCCAGTAATATGATAGCCATTTGCTTACGTTGCATCATGCATGGCAATGACATGGTTATGAATGAATATACTTGAGATTTTTTTTATATATTTCAGTAATTTGGGTAAGGTCCCTGTCAATTTACGCGTATTTTTGCTAATTTCTTTTAAATTAGTATNTGAATGAATATACTTGAGATTTTTTTTATATATTTCAGTAATTTGGGTAAGGTCCTAGTCAATTTACGCGTATTTTTGCTAATTTCTTTTAAATTAGTATTAAATAATATTATTATTTTTTTTCACTAAAAAAAGCGATTGAGAATCTCGAGAATGTGATTAAGCTAAAGTAGAATATTTATTTTACATGATTACCTTAATTTCGACGTAGATGATATGTCTTTAACTAGACAGGGAAGGAGACTAGTGAAGGTACGCGCAAACTAATCAGACACCCCTAACTGTTAAAAAAAAACAAAAGAGTAAAGATATTTGGATGGGATTAATGTTATAGGGACCTTATTTGGGGACCTCATTTAGAGACCTAATGATGTGGCTTCAACGTAACTATTCCCTCCGTTCCTAAATATATGTCGTTTTATAAAATTTTTTTTATTCCATAATATCTGTCGTTTAGTGAAATCAAAGTATAATTAATATTTTTTTTTAAATTTACCCTTAACTTTTCCATGCATTAGATTAGGTGGAGGTTATGTGTCTTTTATATTCCTTTTCTTCCCAATACATATTGAATAAGAGCATTTTAGTCTTATATAATTATTTTCTACTCGTATTACAACTATTTAATAGCTTCCTTAATCTCTATGCAAAAACCTTAAACGACAGATATTGAGGAACGGAGAGAGTATTAAATTAGTTGTGAGTTTCAATGTTAGATGAAGTCCACAACCAATCTAATTGTTGCACATCATTAGATTCTTAAATAAGGTCCCCAAATTAAGTTCAAATAATATTTTCCTTTGGAGAATGAGTTCATCTCCTAGCATTCAATTATGTCAATATTTATCCTCTAAAAAGAGCAATCAAGAATCTCGAGAATATGATTAATATTTAGTATTGGTATTGTCTTNTTATGTCAATATTTATCCTACTAAAAAGAGCAATCAAGAATCTCGAGAATATGATTAATATTTAGTATTGGTATTGTCGTGAGATCTATGCAATGACTTGAAAAAAGTCATTGTTCATATTTTCTTTTAATAAGATTCTAACTTATATGCTTTGTTTTTTCTTTTTTTTCTTGGCACTCAATAACTTGAATGAAGGAGCTACTATCGGTGCACACACCACACATGCAATGTGAAGAAACAGGTACAAAGGCTATCCAAGGACACGAGCATGGTCATGACAACCTATGAGGGAATTCACAACCATCCAACTGAGAAGCTAATGGAAACTCTTAGTCCTCTTCTCAAGCAAATGCAGTTCCTTTCTAGGTTCTAACCCCCTCTTGATTTGAAGAACAAAATCAACCACCACTCCCCTTTCTTGGCATTTTCTAGTCGAAAAATGTTATATGAACTTAATTTACTGATATGGTAATCATGTGTATAAGTTTATGTGTATGGATTTGCTAACCATTTATGGCCATCTTCATTTACTTTTAAAATCAGAAAGTATTATTCAAATAGAATTGTACGTACTCTCATTTATAAAGAGCTTAATTTGAGGGAAATAAGTGTCTGACAGGTTTACTTAATTTTAGATACGTTGATTCCTGAACTTGAACTTTGAATGTATCATTTGGATGACTGAGTATTAGCTTGGATCAATTTACTTACATAAAACCAAATAAAAAAGGGCAAATGAAAGAAATTTATGCCAAAATGGGAGCACACCACAACCTTAGCTTTAACATAAAAAAGTGTGGTTTTTTTTTTATTACTCAACGATTAATTATGTTACTAGTCTTATATATCCCATTACAAGAATGTCTGAATGAATTATAAACCCGAAAGAAGAGCATATTAAAATTTCAAATAGAAGAACCAAAGAAAAGTAGAATACAATCCTTAGAGAAAGGGACACAATTTTTTTTGATTTCGTTTTAAGCTATGTGGGTTCATAGAAATAACGAGTGGACTCCTCAAATTCACTTATCACACTAGTTGCTAAAAATTTGTATAAACATAATATGAATCCTATTAAACTCAGTATCATAAGCCTGACAGCTCGACCTCACTCAAAAATAAACACTTATAGACTATTAATAAAAAAAAAGGAAAGATTCCTCTTCCCCAGCTTCTCGTTCTGAAACTCATATGGTCTATTGTCCTTGAAACTTTCATCTGGAACTCATATGGTCTATTGTCCTTGAAACTTTCATCTGGGCCTCTGGTCTTGAAAGTAATCTTTTCTGAAAAGCTATCCATCAGGCACAGGAAGAGGTTTACACGACAGGAACTGGAAAAAACGGTACAAATCCGATTATACAAGACTATGAATTCTACAGTGCAACTCAAGAGCAAGAGCTTGGGCCAAAATTAAAGTGGGCTGGTCCATAATCGCCAAAACCCAGACAGCAGCCCAAACCCACCTAGCCATCTTCATCAACCCCACGTTGTCCATTAACTTCTCTGTCTCCAAACCACTGCTTTAAATGCAGCAGCTAAAGCAACCCGCCAACCTTTCTCTCTCCCCCAATCAAATGGAGCCCCCCACTACTCCACTCAGTTCCCAATGTCCACCACCACTCCTTCCTCCGCCACCTTTTCCTTCGCATACGGTGGCGCACCACCACCACCAAACACCTCCTCTATCTCCCTAAACCTAACTAAACTCGGCATCGGCTATGCCATCGCAATCACCCTCGGTTTTCTGGTCCTATTCTCCACTATCCTCCTCACTTCCTACATATGTTGCCGTTATCGTCGATCTCAAAACCCTAACCCTAATAACTCCTCCGACGACAATGGAATCTATTTACCTCGCATTATTTTTGTAGCAGAAGACGATGATGAAGAAGACAACGAAATTGTTGCTGTTGGTCTTGATCAAGCTGTGATAAATTCGTATCCGAGATTTGCTTTTTCCAAGGACCGTGGAATCAGTGGTGGAAATAGTGATTCAATGTGTTCGATCTGTTTGTGTGAGTACAAGAACTCGGAGATGCTGAGAATTTTACCGGATTGTAAGCATTACTTTCACTTGACATGTATTGACGCGTGGTTAAAGCTCAATGCCTCATGTCCGGTGTGTCGGAGCTCTCCGCTGCCGACGCCGTTGTCCACGCCGCTGCAGGAGGTGGTGCCTCTGTCTCAGTACTCCGATGGTCGGAGGAGATGATGGGTATTGTGGTTCATGGCTTTAGATGATTTGTTTGGTTGTTTGAACTTGTCTAAATTTATTGGGTGGTGATTAGGGATGATGGACTTGGAAAATTTTCATATGTTTATCTTATGAATTGTGAATTTGGGTTGATAATAGAGTAGAGAAATGGAAATGGAAATGGAAGAGCATTATCTATTTGTGAGCAGTTGAATTCAGTGAAAAAAAAAATAGTATACAGTATTTCTTATTTAGTCTTCTAGCTTTAGTTTGGTTTATTCATTGTCATGAATACTTGATGTACATTTGGCCTTGTTAATCATGGTGAAATTCAGTAATGAATCCCCTGGATGGGCGGGCCTATGGTCCCCAAACATTTGGAAATCCTCCTATTATATTCGTATCGATTAAGTATATATTCTAAATTCTAATCATGTTGGTTTAGTCTAATGTCTGGCTCATTAGGTTCATTTTCATGAGTTCTTAAGTTATATAGGGTCTTATTTTGTTAACCATGGTGAAACTCAATTATGGATCTAGGGCATGGGCAGGCTGATTGCTCCCAAACATTTGAAAATTTATCCTATTATATTGGTGACACTTATTCACTTTTCCAAATTATATGGGTTTCCCTTCATTTTTTTTTGTAGGTGTAAAAGCTGACTCCATAGGTTAACTTCCCGGATCCAGATTCGCCTAACTTCTTATTGTTGGCTAAAAATGCATATTCTTGTATGAGATTTTCATACATGACCATAACTTTTATTTGATTGGATGGATTTGAATCAACAAAGAAATTCTTGAGCTTTATTCTCTTCTCTTTCTTTTCTTGTTGTTGTTGCCGTTATGGCTCGTCAAATGGGCCCTTATGGTTTCAACTTTTCTTTCCTTCTCTTTTCTCCTGTCTTTCTTTCTTGCTTTTTTGGTAGGTCATGGCTATAGAAATTGTATTTGGGAAAGAATAATAAAAATATGATAGCTGTAATTACTTTGCTGTTGCCCATTCATGTTTTTTTCCTGCTGGTAAAGTGATGTCACTGCTCCGTTGCTGCTTTGTCTATGGATGTAAGATTTTCAAAGAACAGAAACCCATGTACAATAGGCATGCTTGGATGCTCTCCAGTTTCTCTAGCATCAAAAAAGCCAAAACCTTCGTAGGCAACTGACATTCACTAGAACATAAAAACACTTGTTCTGTTTGATTATTTCCAGCAGCTTATATTACCCCGTTACAAAGTGATGGCTTCCATGATCCATGGATCATGGCTTAAATTCCAGGCCATTGTCATTGATTAGTAATATGATAACTAGTGGTCTGATATAAAGTATGACCCTTAACAGAGTATATGATTAAATAAAATTCACGTAGCCAACAAAAATGTTAGGGGAAGACTTTGTTGAGTTGTATTAGTTGTGTTGTATTTTTTGCTTTTTGCTACTCACTTTTGAAAGTGTATTGTTTGTTAATACAGGTAGAGGCACACAACATTGGCAGGGACACTTCTATGATATGCGGGGTACTCATACTTTGATATAGTGGACAAATCAGACGCTGAGATGATGATCAATTAGTAATCTATTCCAGCTCAAAATTAAAATAAAAAAAGGATTAATCTATGTAAACCCTCTCATGCATGAATTTCATTCCTGAACAAAGCATTCATTCTCATGTTCCTCAACATAGGGATTATGACCAACCCATCATTCAAATAGTTTATTTCTCCCAAATCAGATCCTCTGGATTATGTCGTACCTAGATTTTGAGTCAAACATGTTGAAGATTTTCTGCACATGGGAATGCGAGTTTTTGCAAGGGAGTATGGGATGAAGTAGTTGCTAAGAATTGACTATTCGTTTTTTTCGGGGAATTGGTTTCTTACATTATGACGAACTGTTTACCACTGATATAGGTTACTTGTTATAAAAATCACTAGAATGCATGAGAAATCTTCCCAAGAATCTCCAAACTCTAGTTAATGAGAACCAGAAAAGGGTCTGGTCTCAACATCCTCCAAAGTTCTGACCCCATTATTTCTTCACTGACAAAAACTTAAATCCCAAGTCCATGTGGCTTCATTTCTAACCCTGCTCCTGCCAAAGCGTTCGGCTAAGTCTCAGGTACACTCTAAACATGCTGTCGGGGGTACTGTGATTAGTATTTTGATCAAGGCCTTTCTGTATGTGTTGCGCTCTTAGCTGTGAATCATGAAAATATCCGACCCATTTCTGTATGGGTTTTTTTCTCTTAATTCTTTTGCAAATTGGACCATACCTTTCACTTCAAAGTGGCTTCTGAAAAGAAGGTACGGATCAAGCTGCACATCAAGAAGTTCGTGTTAACTTAGGCATTACTGCTGCGCGAAGATGATGGTATTGGTGCGCTCTTGCTTGCTTTAAGCTTTGCTCTTGGCCTCCACATTTTGATAGCTAGTACTTGGCAGTGACCACTTTTGAACCCTAGCAGAGCAGAGAGCACCAAATCTCAGCATGATGGAATTTGGCATTTGCTTGCACGGGTTGCAAAGTTAGCCTTTCCAATCAGATGGACCAACCTTTGCAGCAATCAAAATCTCAGCTTCCAATGGTGCAAGTCTTATCTCCTAATTAAAGTTGATAATTCATAAGATCTATTAGTCTTGTGAGAAATTAACATAAAATTTGTNGCTTCCAATGGTGCAAGTCTTATCTCCTAATTAAAGTTGATAATTCATAAGATCTGTTAGTCTGGTGAGAAATTAACATAAAATTTGTGTGTTTGTGTTTAACTCGAGTGAGATTCTCTATGGTCACTTTCTTTTCAATTCTCATATTGACACATCATCTGTGATATATTTAAGTTGAATTCATTGTATATAAGTGGATGATGTGCCAAGAAGAGAATTTAAGAGAAAATGTATTGAAAAAGTTTTGAATCATGTTANTATTTAAGTTGAATTCATTGTATATAAGTGGATGATGTGCCAAGAAGAGAATTTAAGAGAAAATGTATTGTAAAAGTTTTGAATCATGTTATACTCTAATGATTGGCATCCTAGTTAGTTTAATCAGTCAGACACTGTTTGACAAATAATTCAACGGGAATTTGATTATACATGATTTAGATTTTTTTTGGATGAATTCACAGCGTACAAAACACATAATTTGAACTATTTTACCCGACAGACATATATTTGAAGAAGTTACTCAGATAGACATTTACTTGTACAAATGGGTATATAAAATTACTTATAGATAATGGGTCAGGTATGATACAAGGTACTACTAGGTCCTGCACACCGCTACCTGTGTGAGAAGATTGTTGAGGAACTATAGCCACTACAAGCGATTTGGNACTTATAGATAATGGGTCAGGTATGGTACAAGGTACTACTAGGTCCTGCACACCGCTACCTGTGTGAGAAGATTGTTGAGGAACCATAGCCACTACAAGCGATTTGGATTGTTGTTATATTTTGTGTTAGCAGTCTGTTTTACTATATAAATGGTTTAAGTAATTTTGATATAATACTATTTAGACGTAATATAATCATGCTGTACCATGGTCCATGGCCCATCCTACCGCAACTTATAAAAAGTGGCATTCTAGCTAGTTGGGCAGCCACATGTGACCCCGCCTGATATTTTATCCTGTGTGCAGCTACATGGTTAGGGTCTTATTTAATATGCTTTTTTTTTTTAATAATAAATCAAATTCTATGAATCCAAATGAAATTTATTGTACACATAGACGTGTGTTGCTCACTAATATATGGGCAATAATTTAATATTCTTAAAAGTGACAACTCAGTATATGTCACCAACTGGGCCTGGAAAGAGATTTTCTAGTGGGAGGGAAAGAGTTCAAAGTCTTTTGGGCGCAAAAACATGTAGTTGTTTGGTATAACAAGATTTTAATTGTTTGGACAAATTGAATTCAAGTTTTTAATATGGATCTTAAGTCTCCGGTGAAATATGAGTGTTGATTTAAATGGTGTATAAGTTAAGAGATTGATTCATTTATCCGGACTTTACATTTGATTTTACTTAGAGTCACAAGCCTGAGTAACATGGGTGCGTCTTTATTCGTTAAGAACATGTCATGAGATTTTTCCGAAGACGACTCACTACATGTAAGGGATCTAGATCCGAAAAGACACTTATACATGTTCAGCTTTTTATCCGTTTTATTTATTCGTAATTTTATTCAATGATCAATTATTTATTATTAATATAATTAAAGTTTATTATTTATAGATAAATTTTATTCATGTATTATAAATAATCTCTTAAATGAAAATATAACAGAGGCAACTCAATTTGACCCTCTTAATCTAGTAGGAGTGATAATCACACCGAATCTTTTGAGTTCATTTTTTAAATTAAATTTAAAAAATTGTTTAAATATGATTTATTTAAAAAATGAGTTGAGTTATACTTGTTTTTAAAAAAATATTAAAAAAATATTTAATCTCGATTTATTTAAAAAAAATGTGTCAAGTACGAGTCTAATTCTTTACAAATTGGATTTGAATTAAGTTGGAGCAACTCAGGTCGATTATTAGCCTAACTCCATTGTATCGAATTAAAAGTAAGAGAAGGGGGAGAAATTTATCAATGGCCCAGACCATCCAGACCGTTAACTGCGTCTGTTCTATACACATCTCCAGGTATGTGGAGCCCACCTCGATGTGTGAAATCCCCCAATCTCAGACTACATAAAGTAACCGTCCAACACGTGTCCCTCCAAGACTTTACCAGGCCGGTGACCCCACAACCATAAAAAAACACCACAGCCAACCAGACAATCCACACCGCTCACACTCCTTATCAAACCCTGGCCGTCAAATCTAACGCCGTTACACCTCGAAAACCCCAAAATTTCAAAACCCTATACACACTAACCGCTTCGGTATCCAAGCTGAGGCTCGTGCACTTTTTCGTTCTTGAGTACGCGTACATAGCCAGAGACATACACAACATACGCCTCATTTCACAGCTCATAGGAACTGTTTGGTGACCTTTATTTTCGTTTCATAATA